TTGCGCTCTACCGATTGAGCTAGACAGGCAACAAACAATAAATGTCAATTTTCCTATAATTATTTGACAGACTTGTAATATTGATAAAACTAACTTTTTGTTTTGTGACAATAAACATCCAATATTCCATTGCTGTAGTTACATAAAAAATAATATGGAAATTCATTTTTCTTACAAGATATAACAATCAGAATTAACGCATTAGAAATCAAGTCTAAACGCCCACCCTGGGGCTTCAGCCCAGGACCACAAGGCTAAGAGCCTTGCGCTCTACGGACTGAGCTAGACGGGCAACGAACGATGATTATCAATTTTCTTATAACTATTTGGTGCGCTTGTAATATTGATGAAACTAACTTTTTGTATTGTGAGAATGAACATCCAATATTCCCTTATTGTAGATACGTTAAAAAACTCGAAATACTTTTTCTTAAAAAATATAGCAATCAACTAAATGTTTATTAGGGAAATCTTTCATAATTAATTATTGATGCATCTCAAGTCTAAACGCCCACCCTGGGACTTGAACCCAGGACCACAAGGTTAAGAGCCTTGCGCTCTACCGACTGGGCTAGACGGGCAACAAACAATAAATGTCAATTTTCCTATAATTATTTGACAGACTTGTAATATTGATAAAACTAACTTTTTGTTTTGTGACAATGAACATCCAATATTCCATTGCTGTAGTTACATAAAAAATAATTTGGAAATTCATTTTTCTTACAAGATATAACAATCAGAATTAACGCATTAGAAATCAAGTCTAAACGCCCACCCTGGGGCTTCAGCCCAGGACCACAAGGCTAAGAGCCTTGCGCTCTACGGACTGAGCTAGACGGGCAACGAACGATGATTATCAATTTTCTTATAACTATTTGGTGCGCTTGTAATATTGATGAAACTAACTTTTTGTATTGTGAGAATGAACATCCAATATTCCCTTATTGTAGATACGTTAAAAAACTGGAAATACTTTTTCTTAAAAAATATAGCAACCAACTAAATGTTTATTAGGGAAATCTTTCATAATAATTAATTATTGATGCATCTCAAGTCTAAACGCCCACCCTGGGACTTGAACCCAGGACCACATGGTTAAGAGCCTTGCGCTCTACCGACTGAGCTAGACGGGCAACAAACAATAAATGTCAATTTTCCTATAATTATTTGACAGACTTGTAATATTGATAAAACTAACTTTTTGTTTTGTGACAATAAACATCCAATATTCCATTGCTGTAGTTACATAAAAAATAATATGGAAATTCATTTTTCTTACAAGATATAACAATCAGAATTAACGCATTAGAAATCAAGTCTAAACGCCCACCCTGGGGCTTCAGCCAGGACAACAAGGCTAAGAGCCTTGCGCTCTACGGACTGAGCTAGACGGGCAACGAACGATGATTATCAATTTTCTTATAACTATTTGGTGCGCTTGTAATATTGATGAAACTAACTTTTTGTATTGTGAGAATGAACATCCAATATTCCCTTATTGTAGATACGTAAAAAAACTCGAAATACTTTTTCTTAAAAAATATAGCAATCAATTAAATGTTTATTGGGGAAATCTTTCATAATGAATTATTGATGCATCTCAAGTCTAAACGCCCACCCCTGGGACTTGAAGCCAGGACCACAAGGTTAAGAGCCTTGCGCTCTACCGACTGAGCTAGACGGGCAACAAACAATAAAAGTCAATTTTCCTATAATTATTTGACAGACTTGTGATATTGATAAAACTAACTTTTTGTTTTGTGACAATAAACATCCAATATTCCATTGCTGTAGTTACATAAAAAATAATATGGAAATTCATTTTCCTTACAAGATATAACAATCAGAATTAACGCATTAGAAATCAAGTCTAAACGCCCACCCTGGGGCTTCAGCCCAGGACCACAAGGCTAAGAGCCTTGCGCTCTACGGACTGAGCTAGACGGGTAACGAACGATGATTATCAATTTTCTTATAACTATTTGGTGCGCTTGTAATATTGATAAAACTAACTTTTTGTATTGTGAGAATGAACATCCAATATTCCCTTATTGTAGATACATAAAAAAACAGGAAATACTTTTTCTTAAAAAATATAGCAATCAATTAAATGTTTATTGGGGAAATCTTTCATAATGAATTATTGATGCATCTCAAGTCTAAACGTATTGGGGAAATCTTTCATAATGAATTATTGATGCATCTCAAGTCTAAACGCCCACCCCTGGGACTTGAAGCCAGGACCACAAGGTTAAGAGCCTTGCACTCTACCGACTGAGCTAGACGGGCAACAAACAATAAACGTCAATTTTCCTATAATTATTTGACAGACTTGTAATATTGATAAAACTAACTTTTTGTTTTGTGACAATAAACTTCCAATATTCCATTGCTGTAGTTACATAAAAAATAATATGGAAATTCATTTTTCTTACAAGATATAACAATCAGAATTAACGCATTAGAAATCAAGTCTAAACGCCCACCCTGGGGCTTCAGCCCAGGACCACAAGGCTAAGAGCCTTGCGCTCTACGGACTGAGCTAGACGGGCAACGAACGATGATTATCAATTTTCTTATAACTATTTGGTGCGCTTGTAATATTGATGAAACTAACTTTTTGTATTGTGAGAATGAACATCCAATATTCCCTTATTGTAGATACGTAAAAAAACAGGAAATACTTTTTCTTAAAAAATATAGCAATCAATTAAATGTTTATTGGGGAAATCTTTCATAATGAATTATTGATGCATCTCAAGTCTAAACGCCCACCCCTGGGACTTGAAGCCAGGACCACAAGGTTAAGAGCCTTGCGCTCTACTGACTGAGCTAGACGGGCAACAAACAATAAAAGTCAATTTTCCTATAATTATTTGACAGACTTGTAATATTGATAAAACTAACTTTTTGTTTTGTGACAATAAACATCAAATATTCCATTGCTGTAGTTACATAAAAAATAATATGGAAATTCATTTTTCTTACAAGATATAACAATCAGAATTAACGCATTAGAAATCAAGTCTAAACGCCCACCCTGGGGCTTCAGCCCAGGACCACAAGGCTAAGAGCCTTGCGCTCTACGGACTGAGCTAGACGGGTAACGAACGATGATTATCAATTTTCTTATAACTATTTGGTGCGCTTGTAATATTGATAAAACTAACTTTTTGTATTGTGAGAATGAACATCCAATATTCCCTTATTGTAGATACATAAAAAAACAGTCGAAATTACTTTTTTTCTTAAAAAAATAGCAATCAATTAGATCATGATCTCAAGTCTAAACGTATTGGGGAAATCTTTCATAATGAATTATTGATGCATCTCAAGTCTAAACGCCCACCCTGGGACTTGAAGCCAGGACCACAAGGTTAAGAGCCTTGCACTCTACCGACTGAGCTAGACGGCAACAAACAATAAACGTCAATTTTCCTATAATTATTTGACAGACTTGTAATATTGATAAAACTAACTTTTTGTTTTGTGACAATAAACTTCCAATATTCCATTGCTGTAGTTACATAAAAAATAATATGGAAATTCATTTTTCTTACAAGATATAACAATCAGAATTAACGCATTAGAAATCAAGTCTAAACGCCCACCCTGGGGCTTCAGCCCAGGACCACAAGGCTAAGAGCCTTGCGCTCTACGGACTGAGCTAGACGGGCAACGAACGATGATTATCAATTTTCTTATAACTATTTGGTGCGCTTGTAATATTGATGAAACTAACTTTTTGTATTGTGAGAATGAACATCCAATATTCCCTTATTGTAGATACGTAAAAAAACAGGAAATACTTTTTCTTAAAAAATATAGCAATCAATTAAATGTTTATTGGGGAAATCTTTCATAATGAATTATTGATGCATCTCAAGTCTAAACGCCCACCCCTGGGACTTGAAGCCAGGACCACAAGGTTAAGAGCCTTGCGCTCTACTGACTGAGCTAGACGGGCACCAAACAATAAAAGTCAATTTTCCTATAATTATTTGACAGACTTGTAATATTGATAAAACTAACTTTTTGTTTTGTGACAATAAACATCAAATATTCCATTGCTGTAGTTACATAAAAAATAATATGGAAATTCATTTTTCTTACAAGATATAACAATCAGAATTAACGCATTAGAAATCAAGTCTAAACGCCCACCCTGGGGCTTCAGCCAGGACAACAAGGCTAAGAGCCTTGCGCTCTACGGACTGAGCTAGACGGGCAACGAACGATGATTATCAATTTTCTTATAACTATTTGGTGCGCTTGTAATATTGATGAAACTAACTTTTTGTATTGTGAGAATGAACATCCAATATTCCCTTATTGTAGATACGTAAAAAAACTCGAAATACTTTTTCTTAAAAAATATAGCAATCAATTAAATGTTTATTGGGGAAATCTTTCATAATGAATTATTGATGCATCTCAAGTCTAAACGCCCACCCCTGGGACTTGAAGCCAGGACCACAAGGTTAAGAGCCTTGCGCTCTACCGACTGAGCTAGACGGGCAACAAACAATAAAAGTCAATTTTCCTATAATTATTTGACAGACTTGTGATATTGATAAAACTAACTTTTTGTTTTGTGACAATAAACATCCAATATTCCATTGCTGTAGTTACATAAAAATAATATGGAAATTCATTTTCCTTACAAGATATAACAATCAGAATTAACGCATTAGAAATCAAGTCTAAACGCCCACCCTGGGGCTTCAGCCCAGGACCACAAGGCTAAGAGCCTTGCGCTCTACGGACTGAGCTAGACGGGCAATGAACGATGATTATCAATTTTCTTATAACTATTTGGTGCGCTTGTAATATTGATGAAACTAACTTTTTGTATTGTGAGAATGAACATCCAATATTCCCTTATTGTAGATACGTTAAAAAGCTCGAAATACTTTTTCTTAAAAAATATAGCAATCAACTAAATGTTTATTAGGGAAATCTTTCATAATTAATTATTGATGCATTTCAAGTCTAAACACCCACCCTGGGACTTGAACCCAGGACCACAAGGTTAAGAGCCTTGCGCTCTACCGATTGAGCTAGACAGGCAACAAACAATAAATGTCAATTTTCCTATAATTATTTGACAGACTTGTAATATTGATAAAACTAACTTTTTGTTTTGTGACAATAAACATCCAATATTCCATTGCTGTAGTAACATAAAAAATAATATGGAAATTCATTTTTCTTACAAGATATAACAATCAGAATTAACGCATTAGAAATCAAGTCTAAACGCCCACCCTGGGGCTTCAGCCCAGGACCACAAGGCTAAGAGCCTTGCGCTCTACGGACTGAGCTAGACGGGCAACGAACGATGATTATCAATTTTCTTATAACTATTTGGTGCGCTTGTAATATTGATGAAACTAACTTTTTGTATTGTGAGAATGAACATCCAATATTCCCTTATTGTAGATACGTTAAAAAACTCGAAATACTTTTTCTTAAAAAATATAGCAATCAACTAAATGTTTATTAGGGAAATCTTTCATAATTAATTATTGATGCATCTCAAGTCTAAACGCCCACCCTGGGACTTGAACCCAGGACCACAAGGTTAAGAGCCTTGCGCTCTACCGACTGGAGCTAGACGGGCAACAAACAATAAATGTCAATTTTCCTATAATTATTTGACAGACTTGTAATATTGATAAAACTAACTTTTTGTTTTGTGACAATGAACATCCAATATTCCATTGCTGTAGTTACATAAAAAATAATTATGGAAATTCATTTTTCTTACAAGATATAACAATCAGAATTAACGCATTAGAAATCAAGTCTAAACGCCCACCCTGGGGCTTCAGCCCAGGACCACAAGGCTAAGAGCCTTGCGCTCTACGGACTGAGCTAGACGGGCAACGAACGATGATTATCAATTTTCTTATAACTATTTGGTGCGCTTGTAATATTGATGAAACTAACTTTTTTGTATTGTGAGAATGAACATCCAATATTCCCTTATTGTAGATACGTTAAAAAACTGGAAATACTTTTTCTTAAAAAATATAGCAATCAACTAAATGTTTATTAGGGAAATCTTTCATAATAATTAATTATTGATGCATCTCAAGTCTAAACGCCCACCCTGGGACTTGAACCCAGGACCACAAGGTTAAGAGCCTTGCGCTCTACCGACTGAGCTAGACGGGCAACAAACAATAAATGTCAATTTTCCTATAATTATTTGACAGACTTGTAATATTGATAAAACTAACTTTTTGTTTTGTGACAATAAACATCCAATATTCCATTGCTGTAGTTACATAAAAAATAATATGGAAATTCATTTTTCTTACAAGATATAACAATCAGAATTAACGCATTAGAAATCAAGTCTAAACGCCCAGACTGGGGCTTCAGCCTAGGACCACAAGGCTAAGAGCCTTGCGCTCTACGGACTGAGCTAGACGGGCAACGAACGATGATTATCAATTTTCTTATAACTATTTGGTGCGCTTGTAATATTGATGAAAACTAACTTTTTGTATTGTGAGAATGAACATCCAATATTCCCTTATTGTAGATACGTAAAAAACTAGGAAATACTTTTTCTTAAAAATATAGCAATCAATTAAATGTTTATTGGGAAATCTTTCATAATAATTATTGATGCATCTCAAGTCTAAACGTATTGGGAAATCTTTCATAATGAATTATTGATGCATCTCAAGTCTAAACGCCCACCCCTGGGACTTGAAGCCAGGACCACAAGGTTAAGAGCCTTGCAGCTCTACCGACTGAGCTAGACGGGCAACAAACAATAAAACGTCAATTTTCCTATAATTATTTGACAGACTTGTAATATTGATAAAACTAACTTTTTGTTTTGTGACAATAAACTTCCAATATTCCATTGCTGTAGTTACATAAAAAATAATATGGAAATTCATTTTTCTTACAAGATATAACAATCAGAATTAACGCATTAGAAATCAAGTCTAAACGCCCACCCTGGGGCTTCAGCCCAGGACCACAAGGCTAAGAGCCTTGCGCTCTACGGACTGAGCTAGACGGGCAACGAACGATGATTATCAATTTTCTTATAACTATTTGGTGCGCTTGTAATATTGATGAAAACTAACTTTTTGTATTGTGAGAATGAACATCCAATATTCCCTTATTGTAGATACGTTAAAAAACTCGAAATACTTTTTCTTAAAAAATATAGCAATCAACTAAATGTTTATTAGGGAAATCTTTCATAATTAATTATTGATGCATCTCAAGTCTAAACGCCCACCCTGGGAACTTGAACCCAGGACCACAAGGTTAAGAGCCTTGCGCTCTACCGACTGAGCTAGACGGGCAACAAACAATAAAAGTCAATTTTCCTATAATTATTTGACAGACTTGTAATATTGATCAAAACTAACTTTTAGTTTTGTGACAATAAACATCCAATATTCCATTGCTGTAGTTACATAAAAAATAATATGGAAATTCATTTTTCTTACAAGATATAACAATCAGAATTAACGCATTAGAAATCAAGTCTAAACGCCCACCCTGGGGCTTCAGCCCAGGACCACAAGGCTAAGAGCCTTGCGCTCTACGGACTGAGCTAGACGGGCAACGAACGATGATTATCAATTTTCTTATAACTATTTGGTGCGCTTGTAATATTGATGAAACTAACTTTTTGTATTGTGAGAATGAACATCCAATATTCCCTTATTGTAGATACGTTAAAAAACTGGAAATACTTTTTCTTAAAAAATATAGCAATCAACTAAATGTTTATTAGGGGAAATCTTTCATAATTAATTATTGATGCATCTCAAGTCTAAACGCCCACCCTGGACTTGAACCCAGGACCACAAGGTTAAGAGCCTTGCGCTCTACCGACTGAGCTAGACGGGCAACAAACAATAAAAGTCAATTTTCCTATAATTATTTGACAGACTTGTAATATTGATAAAACTAACTTTTTGTTTTGTGATAATAAACATCCAATATTCCATTGCTGTAGTTACATAAAAAAAATATATGGAAATTCATTTTTCTTACAAGATATAACAATCAGAATTAACGCATTAGAAATCAAGTCTAAACGCCCACCCTGGGGCTTCAGCCCAGGACCACAAGGCTAAGAGCCTTGCGCTCTACGGACTGAGCTAGACGGGCAACAAACGATGATTATCAATTTTCTTATAACTATTTGGTGCGCTTGTAATATTGATAAAACTAACTTTTTGTATTGTGAGAATGAACATCCAATATTCCCTTATTGTAGATACGTTAAAAAACTGGAAATACTTTTTCTTAAAAAATATAGCAATCAATTAAATGTTTATTGGGGAAATCTTTCATAATTAATTATTGATGTCATCTCAAGTCTAAACGCCCACCCTGGGACTTGAACCCAGGACCACAAGGTTAAGAGCCTTGCGCTCTACCGACTGAGCTAGACGGGCAACAAACAATAAAAGTCAATTTTCCTATAATTATTTGACAGACTTGTAATATTGATAAAACTAACTTTTAGTTTTGTGACAATAAACATCCAATATTCCAATTGCTGTAGTTACATAAAAAAAATATATGGAAATTCATTTTTCTTACAAGATATAACAATCAGAATTAACGCATTAGAAATCAAGTCTAAACGCCCACCCTGGGGCTTCAGCCCAGGACCACAAGGCTAAGAGCCTTGCGCTCTACCGACTGAGCTAGACGGGCAACGAACGATGATTATCAATTTTCTTATAACTATTTGGTGCGCTTGTAATATTGATAAAACTAACTTTTTGTATTGTGAGAATGAACATCCAATATTCCCTTATTGTAGATACGTTAAAAAACATGGAAATACTTTTTCTTAAAAAATATAGCAATCAATTAAATGTTTATTGGGGAAATCTTTCATAATTAATTATTGATGCATCTCAAGTCTAAACACCCACCCTGGACTTGAACCCAGGACCACAAGGTTAAGAGCCTTGCGCTCTACCGACTGAGCTAGACGGGCAACAAACAATAAAAGTCAATTTTCCTATAATTATTTGACAGACTTGTAATATTGATAAAACTAACTTTTTGTTTTGTGACAATAAACATCCAATATTCAATTGCTGTAGTTACATAAAAAATAATATGGAAATTCATTTTTCTTACAAGATATAACAATCAGAATTAACGCATTAGAAATCAAGTCTAAACGCCCACCCTGGGGCTTCAGCCCAGGACCACAAGGCTAAGAGCCTTGACGCTCTACGGACTGAACTAGACGGGCAACGAACGATGATTATCAATTTTCTTATAACTATTTGGTGCGCTTGTAATATTGATAAAACTAACTTTTTGTATTGTGAGAATGAACATCCAATATTCCCTTATTGTAGATACGTTAAAAAACTGGAAATACTTTTTCTTAAAAAATATAGCAATCAATTAAATGTTTATTGGGGAAATCTTTCATAATTAATTATTGATGTATCTCAAGTCTAAACGCCCACCCTGGGACTTGAACCCAGGACCACAAGGTTAAGAGCCTTGCGCTCTACCGACTGAGTTAGACGGGCAACAAACAATAAAAGTCAATTTTCCTATAATTATTTGACAGACTTGTAATATTGATAAAACTAACTTTTAGTTTTGTGACAATAAACATCCAATATTCCAATTGCTGTAGTTACATAAAAAATAATATGGAAATTCATTTTTCTTACAAGATATAACAATCAGAATTAACGCATTAGAAATCAAGTCTAAACGCCCACCCTGGGCTTCAGCCCAGGACCACAAGGCTAAGAGCCTTGCGCTCTACGGACTGAAGCTAGACGGGCAACGAACGATGATTATCAATTTTCTTATAACTATTTGGTGCGCTTGTAATATTGATAAAACTAACTTTTTGTATTGTGAGAATGAACATCCAATATTCCCTTATTGTAGATACGTTAAAAAACTGGAAATACTTTTTCTTAAAAAATATAGCAATCAATTAAATGTTTATTGGGGAAATCTTTCATAATTAATTATTGATGTATCTCAAGTCTAAACGCCCACCCTGGACTTGAACCCAGGACCACAAGGTTAAGAGCCTTGCGCTCTACCGACTGAGCTAGACGGGCAACAAAAAATAAAAGTCAATTTTCCTATAATTATTTGACAGACTTGTAATATTGATAAAACTAACTTTTTGTTTTGTGATAATAAACATCCAATATTCCATTGCTGTAGTTACATAAAAAAAAATATAACGGAAATTCATTTTTCTTACAAGATATAACAATCAGAATTAACGCATTAGAAATCAAGTCTAAACGCCCACCCTGGGGCTTCAGCCCAGGACCACAAGGTAAGAGCCTTGCGCTCTACGACTGAGCTAGACGGGCAACGAACGATGATTATCAATTTTCTTATAACTATTTGGTGCGCTTGTAATATTGATAAAACTAACTTTTTGTATTGTGAGAATGAACATCCTATATTCCCTTATTGTAGATACGTTAAAAAACTGGAAATACTTTTTCTTAAAAAATATAGCAATCATTAATGTTTATTGGGGAAATCTTTCATAATTAATTATTGATGCATCTCAAGTCTAAACGCCCACCCTGGAACTTGAACCCAGGACCACAAGGTTAAGAGCCTTGCGCTCTACCGACTGAGCTAGACCGGGCAACAAACAATAAAAGTCAATTTTCCTATAATTATTTGACAGACTTGTAATATTGATAAAACTAGCTTTTTGTTTTGTGATAATAAACATCCAATATTCCATTGCTGTCGTTACATAAAAAAAAATATAATGGAAATTCATTTTTCTTACAAGATATAACAATCAGAATTAACGCATTAGAAATCAAGTCTAAACGCCCACCCTGGGGCTTCAGCCCAGGACCACAAGGTTAAGAGCCTTGCGCTCTACCAACTGAGCTAGACGGGCAACAAACGATGATTATCAATTTTCTTATAACTATTTGGTGCACTTGAAATATTGATAAAACTAACTTTTTTTATTGTGAGAATGAACATCCAATATTCCCTTATTGTAGATACATTAAAAAATTGGAAATACTTTTTCTTAAAAAATATAGCAATCAATTAAATGTTTATTGGGGAAATCTTTCATAATAATTAATTACTGATACATCTAAAGTCTAAACGCCCACCCTGGGACTTGAACCCAGGACCACAAGGTTAAGAGCCTTGCGCTCTACCAACTGAGCTAGACGGGCAACAAACAATAAAAGTCAATTTTCCTATAATTATTTGACAGACTTGTAATATTGATAAAACTAACTTTTAGTTTTGTGACAATAAACATCCAATATTCAATTGCTGGTAGTTACATAAAAAATAATATGGAAATTCATTTTTCTTACAAGATATAACAATCAGAATTAACGCATTAGAAATCAAGTCTAAACGCCCACCCTGGGGCTTCAGCCCAGGACCACAAGGCTAAGAGCCTTGCGCTCTACGGACTGAGCTAGACGGGCAACGAACGATGATTATCAATTTTCTTATAACTATTTGGTGCGCTTGTAATATTGATAAAACTAACTTTTTGTATTGTGAGAATGAACATCCAATATTCCCTTATTGTAGATACGTTAAAAAACTGGAAATACTTTTTCTTAAAAATATAGCAATCAATTAAATGTTTATTGGGGAAATCTTTCATAATTAATTATTGATGCATCTAAAGTCTAAACACCCACCCTAGGACTTGAACCCAGGACCACAAGGTTAAGAGCCTTGCGCTCTACCGACTGAGCTAGACGGGCAACAAACAATAAAAGTCAATTTTCCTATAATTATTTGAGAGACTTGTAATATTGATAAAACTAACTTTTAGTTTTGTGACAATAAACATCCAATATTCAATAGCTGTAGTTACATAAAAAATAATATGGAAATTCATTTTTCTTACAAGATATAACAATCAGAATTAACGCATTAGAAATCAAGTCTAAACGCCCACCCTGGGGCTTCAGCCCAGGACCACAAGGCTAAGAGCCTTACGCTCTACGGACTGAACTAGACGGGCAACGAACGATGATTATCAATTTTCTTATAACTATTTGGTGCGCTTGTAATATTGATAAAACTAACTTTTTGTATTGTGAGAATGAACATCCAATATTCCCTTATTGTAGATACGTTAAAAAACTGGAAATACTTTTTCTTAAAAAATAAAGCAATCAATTAAATGTTTATTGGGGAAATCTTTCATCATTAATTATTGATGCATCTCAAGTCTAAACGCCCACCCTGGGACTTGAACCCAGGACCACAAGGTTAAGAGCCTTGCGCTCTACCGACTGAGCTAGACGGGCAACAAACAATAAAAGTCAAT